CGGGGCGCAGCAGACCTCTCTGTCTCCCCACTGCTCCCCTCGGCAGTGCATTTCAGAAGATCCACCAGTTCTGCTCCCCACTCTGTCTCGTGAATTCTTTCACCACCACCCCACAACTCTGGCCTACACTCCAGTTCTTGGATGCATAAATAAATCTTTTTTAAAAAGAGAAAGAAAGAAAAACATCTGAGATAAGTCTTGAAAAAGGAGGCTTAGAGAAAGGGAACATCAGTGGAAGAACTACACCCACATGGGCACCCTAATCAAACACTGGGGCCCTGTCTCTGACGCTCTCTTCCACCAATGATGGTCAGTTAAGTCTTGTCCCTTTCACTTCCTGAACCTCTCATAAATCTAAACCCCTTTATGTCTCCAAGTCTTCTGAATCCACTCAGACTTACTTTCCGCTTGTTCCAGTATACCCAAGTCATTAGTTCCCTACTTTTGCTTACATTTATTTATTTATGCACATGGAACTCGGTGCAGGCCAGAGTCTCAGGGGTGGTGAGAGGCTTCACCAGAGACAGAGTGGGGGACAGAACAGGCAAATGGATGAAGTACACTGCTCAGGGGAGCAGCGGGCGGGTCAGGAGAGGTCTGCCGCGCCGTGTGGAGCCGCGCCGTGTGGATCACCTCCGGGGCGGGGGCTTGAACTCGTGCTGAAGCGGCTGCAGCTTGCTTGCAATACTGCACCTTAACCCGCTACGCCACCAAGGAGGGCCTTGCTCTCTACTTTAGATACCAATTTTTTTGAAACCTCATACCAGACTATATCCGTCTCTGCTCCAAATTCTTCTGTAGCTGTGATGGGATCTGCTAAACACTTCTGCCTCACCTGAAATCCCATTTTTCATTACAGCTTTAAATAACAAACATTCTCCATAAGGACAGACAGAAGCGGGGGTTGATGCGAAAGAAACAAATATTTCCAAATAGAAATTGTTTTTTTTTGTTTTACTTTTGTTTTTAGAAATTGAAAGATATCTGAAAACACTGTCAAATGGTAACTTATTCTCATTATTCTCATCCTTTCTCCTTGCTGTCTTTGGCTCTCCAAAAATAACGTCTTTCCTTTTTTTCTTCTTCATTCTTTTTCTCTCTCCCTCCTTCCCACTTCTCTTTTTTGTAATACACTCCCTCACTAGCACCACATGTTTCATAATTCTTAGAGCACAGTAGGTTATAATCACACTCCGAGCTGAATAGAAACCCAGCGAAGAGAATGTGATTTCAGGACCATGGAGAGCTGCACTTCTGTGCGCTTAGTTTCAGATACTTTCTAGGATCTTGACACATGTTAGAATGCTCCATACATGATTGTTCCTTTCTTCACTTGACAAAAATCCCCTCACCCTTTCCGCAGCATCCACTTGGATGTTGCCTCCTCTAGGAAGCCCTCTGTGGTCTCTCCCACCCTCTCCAAAACCCTGCTGTGTCAGGCCCATGCATATTCTCTTTTACCAGAATCCCCTGAGCTACCCTTATCCTTCATCAATCCTGCAAATACCTCCATGCAGGATTGTGCCAGCCAGTTATCTAGGCTCGGCAGATACAAATGAAAGCATGTTTGCGAAGGTCCTGCCTTTGGGAGTTTGCATTCTGGCAAGTGAAGACAGGATATGAATAAGAACAATAGCAATACATGTTATGAAACAAATGTACAATAGGGAACGTCCTAGTATTGTGAGGCAAGGCAACACTATTTTCAGAGAAAGAAATTCTGAGGAAGGAAGAAAGGTTGAGCACTTGGAGAATCAAGATAAAGGACCTCACCGAAGAGTGGAGCTGGGGCTGAGATTCATGTTTTCAAGGACAAGAAGGAGACCGGTGTGGCTGAAATCATAAGCAATGGAGAGCATTAGTGGATTAGGAAATGAGGTCATAGATCTGAATAGGAGCCAGACCATGGAAGACCTGTAGACCACACCAGTGGGGAATTTGGATGTGGTCTCCGTGCAGCGGGACACCCTGGAAGCACCGGAGGGATCTGAGTAGGTGTGTGCCAAGCCTGATAGAGGTGTATTTTGGGGGGCTGCTTTGCCATTGGCTGCATATGTGGGCTTTCACTCAGGACTCAGCCTCCAGTGCCCAGCAGAGGGCCTAGCCTGTGGGATGTCTCTGCAAATGTTTGATGAGTGAATGAATGAGCAGATTCATAAAAAACCGTTTGCAGATCAGGGGTTTTTATGGGGAGCATGCCTCTTAGGAACCGGAAAAAGAAAATCAATGTCACTCCAGCCTCCTCCCCACCTTCTCTCACCAAGCAAGCTCAGTCCCATTTTTCATTGATTCTTCTTCAATATATTTCTCTCTCCAAATTACCCAGAAGCCTATAACCCCAGCTCAAACCTTATCAGGAACTGCCTGGGCCAGTTCACAAAACTCCTGAGGAGCCAACTCCGTGTTTCCCTCTAGACCACCCTGAACACAGGTCACTGAGGGATGTTTGCACCTAGGTGTGCCCCTCACCCTGCTCTCTGCCAACCACTCTCCCTTGGTTTCCTCAAGAGGGACAAGTGCACTCCATTCCAAGATCCAAGATTTTCCATCCTTTGCTCTCACTTCAAATATCCTTCACTTTTATAATTGTGGCAGGGCAGCAAAATGAAGTTGTGTGAAGTACTTAGAACCCCCAAACCATGGCGCTCAGGAATGCTTTTCTTACCGTAGTACACACGCAACGCAGCCGCTCTAGCAGCCGCCGCAGCAGTAATTATCTACCTTAAACTACCTGCCTCCATCACTCACTCTTAGAGGACAGGCCCTGGGTAACGGCCTTTCACCTCCACCATGTCGGCCGGGGGTGACAAACTGCAACTACTCCTCTACCTGTTTTTGCATGGTTTGTGAAGTAACAGTGGTCTTTACACTCCTTATGGTAGGTGGATAACCATCCCCCAAATAATCTTTCATGACACATGAACATCACATCCAATCGAAATGTCGGGCTCCATAAATTGGTGCCGCTGGGACAAGCCACTCTCCTGACTCACCTCTAGCCACTCTGGGGCTACCCTGACACACTGGCAGGGCTTTGTGGTCACCAAGCTGAATGGCAAGCATCAATGACCCCGTGGCTCACCAGGCCTGAAATATTTATTCTCTGGCTCCAAGCAGGAAAAGCCTATTGACTCCTCACCAAGGCTTGTCCCTTAGTAAGCCCACAGCGTAAGGCTGTAGTCACAGTGAGGAGTTGCTGGATTTGAACCCAGCATGTGCCTTTCGAAGTCAGCATGTGCCTTCAGCTACTTCACCCCACACTCTGGAAGCACGAGACAGGAGGCCTCGGGTGGGAGGCATACACTGCAGCTATGAAATGGACTGGAGGAGATGAACAGTCTATGCCCTGCCCTGCCCTCATGACTGTGGTCCATGGAGGTCTGACTTCCAGCCTGGAGGGCCAGGGGATCTCAGCGGGACCGTGGCCAGTCAGGTCAGGGTCCACTAGTAGGAGTTTGGCTGCTGTAGTTAGAATTACTACCCCCATCCTGTACCCCGCCCTGCCACTGACAGCGACGTCGCCTCTTCCACTCCCCTCTGGAAGCTCAAGCAGTGTGATCTCCCTCCAGCGTTTCAGGCGGGTTAAATGAAAGTCTCCATGCTACCTACCCTTGCCCCACTTTCTTGCTCTCTAGGCCACTATTTTTCCACCTGAAAAATGATGAGACCTTTCGGCTGTGACACTCTGGGGTGGCAACAGTCTACGTGTCTTATTTTAGCTCAGTGTCTGGCTGCACAAGCCGTGATCCAGGTTTGCACGGAGGCTGCACCCTGGCTTCCCTGGAAAGGTCTCCTCGGGTTAGGTTGGAGGTATGGGGGAGGCTTAGAGAGAGCTGGGTGAGGAGCTGGGAGGAGGCTGGGGGAAGGGATATCCATCTTTAACTTGCAGCACTGACTAGACAGAGGGAACAGAGTTGGGGGGCGCATGGGCGCAATGGAAGTGAGACATGCCGCGGAGGTTGTTCATAACGCAGCCATCAAATTTAAAGGACTCCAACGGAGTTTAGATTGTGTTGGATTAATTCGAATTGAAGAACTGAGGAAGAGTGGATTGGGAATAGGCTGGACCGGACTGATGGGGTGTGTTGTTTGTGCTGAGCTAAGCATAGCTGGATGGAATTCCACAGGCTGAGCTGAGATGTGGAAGCGGGTAACACTTACAGAGCCCTGGAACTCAGGGTGCTCTGCAGCTCCCAGCTCACGCTGCTTTCCTGAGCAACTCCATGAACAATTCTGGGCCTCTGTACCCCCATGTTATCGAATACCTACTACTACTAATTCCCTGGCAGAGCTGTTGTGAGAGGGTGTGAGGTTTTGCATGCAGAAGAGGCTTGTATCTCAAAGGGAAAAAGAACTGCAAACAACCCCCAGCTATGACGTGCATGGGAAAGTATTTAGGGTGAAATGTACTGACACCTACAAGTCACCTGAAAATCATTTCAAAAACACATGTGTGGTTAGAAAGACACACAGATATGAGAAAGAGCAAATCTAGCAGTATCTTGATGACTGACTCCCAGTGGTAGATACAGATGTTCACTCCAAAATTCGTTCGATTTTTCTATTTGCACATTTTTTTCAGATAAAAGGTGTGGAAAATAAAGAGGCTGTGAGAAAATATCAGGCATGGTTAAAAGTGCCTCTGTGGTTTCACTGCTCAAGGCCCTGAGCAAATGACCTCATCTCCAGGAATGCTTGCTTCTCCCTCTCTGTGAAATGGGGCTATTAATAGCGTTTACCTCACAGGACTGTGGTACTAGAACGGCACCTCCTACCTAATTAGCACCCATTAAGCATGCGCTATGACTTGGCCTCTAAACCATTCTGCAACATAGCCACTGCTCCCTCTGCTCCCCAGGAAAAGGAAGGGGCCCAGCGAGGTCCTGGGACTCCTCTGAGATCACACAGCACGAAAATGGCTGGTTAAGTGCAAGAGGGACCCCAAGTTCCTGGAACCTAAAATAGTGCCCCGAGCCCGCTGGTCCTTTCCTTAGGCTCACCCGAGAGGATGAAGAAGATGCCGGAAACGAAGGCCAGGATGGTCCTCTGCGGGCGGATGTGGCCGATGTTGCTGATGACAAAGGCGGTGAAGACCAGGAAGAGACTGACCATGGGGAACGGGGTGGCCGTGCGCACGGTCTCTGACAGGGCGGGAGGCAGAGGCAGCAGGTGAGGGGGAAACTGCGATGCAGAACCTCGCTATTTCCCGGACCCCCAGGACCCCGACTCCCACCACGCCGCGGCCCCTCTTCAGGCTCCTCCCCTCATGCCGGAGCAGCCACGGGCTCCACCCCTCACCCAGGCCACACCCTTCCCTTGGCCCCTCCTCCCTGCTGACGCCACCGCGGCAGGCCCCGCCCCGCCCCGCAGGCTCCTCCCCCTCCCCAACCCGCCCTGGGTCCCTGAGACCCAGCGCTTCCCTCCTCCTGCCCTCTCTCCCAGGACCTGCCGCCCTGATCTTGCCCCTTCTGCCGAGGTGCCCCCTTCCCCTCACTCAGAATATTCTCCGTGTTTTCCGTCACCAAGTTGATCTCCGGTTCAAGGAAATATTCTGAGGCCACGCAGCGACCCTTCTCCCGGCCTAGGGGTGAGAGAGAGCAGGGACAGATGGGTGGCGCCTAAGCTCTGGAGAGCTGACACATGTCAGGTCCCGAGAGGGGGCAGTGAGGCACAGTCCACACGCAAGGCCCCGAGAGGTCGGGAAGGATGCGCAGGTGGGGTGCCGAGGACCTCCTCTTGGAGACACCTGGGCTGGGGGCCGCACTGCAGGCAGGACCCTGAGTGGAGAGGGGCTGTGGGCTGGGACTCATGGGCCCCTAAAGGAGATAAAGTTGGGGTACCTCGGAGGAGAGGTCTCGGTGGGCTCTGGGAGCCACGGATTTTCACCCTATTCATTCAACATTAGAACTGTGCAGGGGGCAAATTCTGAACCTAGACCACAGCTGCTAAGGGAAGGCTCTGGGGGCAGCAGATTTTAGAGTTCTGGAAAACAAGGGCTAAGCTGGGGCTTCAGGCAGAAACTAGAGTCTGCAGAAGAAAAACAGGGGTCTGTTTCCGGAACGCGCAGCATGGGGCTATGGATAGGACTCTTACATCCGCAGACAGCAAGAGTTAAGCGGAGGGCGGAGGCCTTACCTGCGAAGAAGCAGACTCTCCAGAGGCCGGCATGCAGGGCCATCTTGACCTCCGTGGTCTGGTTCTGCGGCAGCACCGTCCCCTCCTCCATGTACAGCCAGTAGTCAGTGCTGACGGCGATGCCCACGAGCAGCAGGCCGCACGCCCCGAACACGCTGCTCAGCAGGGTCAGGGCGCGGCTGCTGCAGTGACTCATGCTCGACGGCGGGGGGCGCCCTGTGGGGCCTGAGGGATGGAAGTGGTCACAGCCCTGAAGCCACCCACTCCCCAGCCTCATGCAGCCACCTGGGACCCTACCTGGGCCAGAAACACCAATCCCCACGCAGAAACCTCTCAAATCTGAGCCCTGTGTCCTAGTCTTAACCCAGGCCCCAACGCCTGAATTTATTAAACCAATGACACAACTCTTGACCTTCAAGGAGAAATGGCCTTTCCAAACCCACGCTCGTGCCCTGGCACTGGATCCTGACCAGGGACATCATGTGTCAGACCCCAAACTCCAGGGTAAGATTTCCAACCATAACGCGCCCCGCCTGGACTCCAACCGGTCTGGGCCTGGGTCCCGAGCAGGACAACTATAACCAGAAAGTCAGTGTCCAGGTTCTCAGAGCCAGAACCGTGCCCGCCAATCCTAACCCCGGCCCTGGTATGAGACCTGACGCTCCACACCAGGCCCCACCAGAAAATCTAACCATGAGCCTGGTCTGGGGACTCGGAAGTGATGGCACTGATGTGACTGCACATGCAGACCTGGCGCCCTCCCGCTCCATGCTGATCCTCGCCACGCCGGACCTCACACCCTCACCCCTCTCCTGTGGACTGTCTCAGACTAGCAAGCGGAGTTTCCCAGAGTGGGTCGCTAAGCCAGGATCCCTGGCCCCAAACCCTTAACCTCAGGCCTACTCATGCCTTGAACAGCCCCTCCCACCCCACCAAAGTTTAAACCGTTGGCATTTATCTTGACCCATTTAATACCCGAGTCTAACTCCAAGACCTTGGCCGTGACCTTATAACTTTGATCCATACCTCGCCCTCAGTGGGGTACGTTGATGTGGGATTGTGGCCCACAACCCAAATCTGAGCTTCCAGCACCCCAACTGTGCCCATCTTAGATTTTGACTACAGAATCCAAGAATGTCCATGTCATGCTTCCCCCCAATTCAGCATCTTAACAAGAGCACCCCACTCAAAGGATTGACAAACTACGCACGGATCAATGTGATCCAACCATTGAAGCCCTGGATCCCCACTTCCCATCAGAAGACCCCACATTCTCTGCCAGATTCTTGACACTGATTTCCCATGCTTGGACGTATCACAAACCTTCTTGAATATCCAAGCTGATGTTAGGATCCCCTTAATATTACACTCTCAAAACTAGAATTTCAAGGCGCATAGCTCTGGAGGCCAGCTAGAGAGCTCCTAAACTCTTTTCCACAACTCTCAACCACCCACGCCCCTCCCCCACACCCCCCCCCAAACTTCACCAAACCACACAACCCTGCGGTATAGCAGGGACTTGGGGTCATCCTCTTATCTCAACCAGAGACCCCTGCACCTCTAGACACAGGGTTTCCCATCATCCTTTAACTATGTCAGCTAAGACCCCCCCCAACATGCAGCCAAGACTTCAGACCCCACTTTTTGGAGCCAGAATTCGTGGAGCCTTGAAACTCTGCCCCAACCCGTAAGAACCCTAAGCCCGAGACCACCTTCGCTTGCCCGCTCCCCTCCGCTCTCCCAGGCCCGGCGCCCCGCCCCGCCCCAGCGTCGGGGCGCTCGGGGAGACTGGCGGTACTCCAGCCAGCTCGCGCCCCTCCCCCGCCCCGTGGCTCCCGGGCTCGACCGCCAGCTGCCCGCTCGTCTTCAGGCGCTGGGCTGCGAAACTAGCGCGGAAAACCCAGTCACCCTGCCGGCTCTAGTCCCTGGGAACGGACCTCGGGCTCCCCGCAGGGCCCTCGCCCCCGGCCACCCTTCTCACCGCCCCTCTGCCCCTCCTCCCGAGTTCGAGCCGGGAAGCTTCATTCTCCATTCTCCAAGCCGACCTCCTCGGGGACCCTCCTCTCAGGCCCGGGGCTTTCCTTTCCCTTCTTTATCCAGCCTCTGGGGCTCAGGCATTCCGACCCACGGGTCCCCTCCTCCAAGCCCCAAGTTCTGCCCCTTGAGGAGACGGACTCTCCGTTTCTTGGGACCCCTTCTAGACCCACACCATGCTCTCCACGGGCCGGGCTGAGCACCCGCACGCAGCACCGCCTCCTTCCAGCACCCGCTGGCGGCTCTCGGGTCCCCGCGGCCTCTGAGCCCGTAGAAGAGCGCAGCTGCCCCACGCCGGGACCTCGGACCGACTGCCCCGGATTCCCTAGGCCCTAAGGTCCCGCCGGCCCCCTCTGCCTCCGGAACTCGGGTCCAGACCTAAAAGGGCAGCCGCCCGCGCCACTCGGCGCCCCCTGGCCCCCCAGTCGCGCTCCCACCTCGAGGGGCGCCCCCTCCCTCCAGGACCCTGCTCACCTCGCTCAGGGCTGGGCGGACGCTCCGGGCCGCGGGC